CAAGCCTAACTGCCTGTAACTTCGTACTATGCTCAGATCGAAACCCAAAGTGCACGTCAGGAATCACATGGTGATCTGACAACAAAATTCCTATGGTGACGTAGGATCACCTTTTCAGCGAACTTAGATGGAGCACACAGTTGGCTAATGGGACGGTATGCCTGGGGAAAATCGAACCCACCTTCTTTGGAATCACTATAACTTCTGCAGCCTTCCACGCCAATAGAAAGTATTGGTTCCTTAGCTCGGCATTGATAATAGCCATGAGAGAAGTCAAGGACTTCCGTGAAAGCAGCATCAGCGCCTTATTAGTGATTTGATGCTCCCCAGGCGCTTCACGCACCTTGAGGTCTTTAATATGGCCTTGAAGCTCTGCTGGTGTGCAATGCGGGATCTCGGGAGAAGCCGCTGATGTGCTGTGCATCTCGTCAGCTGAAGAATCTTAGGAAAAAGAATCTTCTGAGGAAGAATCACTAATGGTGGCGACGTTGGCCGTTGGCCCTAAAATATCTCCTGAACCTTGCAGTGTTATCAGCAGTCATCAAATGTCTGTCAAATTTGACACTCATTAGCAAATGATAACAGGAAATGCCACGCTGTGCTACCCTTCGACAGCCGTTCGTTGATGTCTCAAAACATTTTTATGAACTCCTACTATTCACCGGATGCTCGATGATAACTTCACATAACTGATGTCGGACACAAATATTAGAGATATCAATGGAAATAACGAACATCTAGTTAGTTTAACAGATTGACAATTTGAATTTGAAACTGGTCTGCCAAATGATGACAGCGTGAGCGGCTATTTACAAGGTCTGTCGTAAAGTAAACAGAACTTTTGAAAGACATCCGATACAAATACGATCCCGAAACCAAGCGTCAAAGTGCCGAACAAAAAGCCGTTTGCAAAAGTCCAAAGTGAAGACAATGTTGATTTATTTCTACGATTCGAAGAAAATTATTCGAAAAGAATTCGTTCCACCAGGTCAAACGGTTAATGCTGTGTTTTATCTTGGTGCTATGAGGCGTTTGCTGTCGCGTATTCGTCGTGTTCGTCCAGAATATCGCGGAGAAGGAAGCTCGCGCTTGTTGCACGATAATGCACCATCTCATTGATCCACGCTTGTTTCCGATTTTTCGATAAAAAATGGCATTTGAACCATCAACCACATACCATGTTCTCCCGATATGGCACCGTGTTCGGTAAACTACATTTGGCCATGAAGGGACAGCAGTAAGCCGACGTAGAGGCCATCCAAAAGGCGTTGACGACCACTCTAAATCTCATCCCAGTCAATGAGCTGAAATCATCATTAGAAAATTTATTGGTCCATGCAAATCTCTGTATTAACTTTGAAGGAGACTATTATTTAAATAAATTCGATTTTTCTGAACAAAAAACGTTTGTCCATTTTTTTCTTTGTCCTGTTCACTTTGCGACAGTCCTGGTAGTTTCCCTCACAATAGAGAGCCTCGGTAGGTGTTTAGCGTATTCTAGTAACTTGGGGCTCGCCTCGGAAGTTAATTCCGTGCCATGGATATTGTGTGATGCTGTTTATATTACGCATGACGGTGCAATATTATCGTAAGGAACATCTCACCGCTGGAACTAGTCTATTTAATAATCCGTTACCAGTATATGGGTTGTGTAGTAGTTCGTTGTTGGTACTACGACTACGGCAAAAAGGGTCAAGGGTGGTCCAGATGCCAGGCTTCCCCTCTCCACTACTACTACTGACGAATACACTTTTTACATATAACACACAACGATGAGTAGGAGTGTTTGGCCCTTCTGCTGTCTCATAGATGGCCCTCGAATCTTCAATACCTTTTTGGCATCTCTAATGTCTATTTTAATTGATATTTCAAGTCATTGATTAACGTATACCAACTCTTTTAACAGTAGATTTCTAAATTAATTTCGGTGTTCTGCTACTGACTCATAAATAGTGCTAGTATTTTTCAGATATCCTTTTGGATCCCGGAATACAGTATGTGGTTGACTAACGGTACAACACGTTAATCAATATTGGTAGGCAAGCCACACTGCAAGTTCAAGCCGCGGATGTAAAATATACTAAGTGACATATAAATCCGAACACCCAGTTTAAATGGTTTTATTTTAATAAAAGTTGGTGAATGTATTTATCTTACTGTAAATGACAAGTGAAAAAATTTTCAGCCTTATCAGTTGGACATTCCGGTTTTTATACTGTTTTTTTTAATTCACTAACGCTCTAAAAATGAATATTTCAGCCGCAGTAAAGAATCAACGTTGGCGGATTTTGGTTCTTGACATCCTTTACGATCGGTTACGATGCCTAGAGTACGGAGACCTGTACGATTTCGTCAACTTAGTGAGTTTGATAGGGGCCGTATAGTGGGACTTCGGTAAGCTGGACCTTCTTTTCGGGCAATAGCAGTTAGAGTGCAAAGAAGTGTAGACACTGTGGTTAGGGGTTGTCAGGCATGGCTTCGAGAAGGCCGTACGCAAAGAGCAAGGGGCACTGGACGCCGCCGTAGAACAACAGACCGTGAAGATCGCCGCCTAAGATTATTGGCCTTAAGGGACCGTTTCTCCACTACCAGGTCCATTGCAAATGAATGGTTTGCAGAACACGGAAGACCTATTGGCATGCGAAGTGTTTACCGACTAATGAGACGTTTTGGCTTGTTTTCATACCGGCCACACTGGGTCCTCCCTTTAACTCGAGAACACCGACGTAATCGCCTTGAGTGGTGCAGACAACGGTCACTCTGGGATCAGGAATGGAACAGTATTGTCTTTAGTGACGAGTCTCGATTTTGTTTAGGCATGCACGATGGTCGTGCCAGGGTCAGAAGGCGACGTGGTGAAACGAGGAATCCACAGTTTTTTGTCGAAAGACATGTTCATCACACTGTTGGAGTTATGGTTTGGGGTGCTATAGCTTATGGTTCCAGGTCACCTTTAATCTTCATCAGAGGTAACATGGACGCGCAGCGTTATATCCACGAAGTTCTAGAATCCCATCTTTTACCCTATCTTGACACCCTGGCAGATCCAACTTTCCAAAAAGATAATGCCCGACCACATGTTGCAAGAGTCACAATAGACTTCTTTCAACATAATGATGTCACATTGTTACCATGGCCACCAAGATCTCTTATCCCCAATTGAGCACGTGTGGGATATGATGGGTAGGAGATTGCTCAATTTGCAACGTCCTCCTCAGACTCTAGAAGCACTTCGAGAGGAGTTGGTGGTTGCCTGGATTGAGATACCGCAGGAGGACATTGACCACCTGATCAGAAGCATGCCTAGGCACGTTGGAGAATGCGTAGCACATCAGGGTGCATCCACACATTATTAAAGGTCAAAAGGCTTTAAAGCAGTGCAATCATTTTGAAATTTTTATCATTTACTTATTATGCTTCATTAAGTACTTATACAAAATTTTATTAAAATAAAACCATTTAAACTGGGTGTTCGGATTTATATGTCACTTAGTATACTTGGATACATTTACGAGATCAAATTGGTCTTCCATAAATAAGATTTTTTTCAACGTTCTACAGGGTCGCTGTCAACTTTAGTGGAATGCTTCTTTTTTTTCCTTACTTTTACTATTGCATTAACGTATTCTGTACTTTTCTAGTAAAAGTTTGATTGAGCATGCTGCGGTAATTTTACCTGAATCATTAATGTGCTCTATTAGTCTTCATTAAGCAACTACAAAGATCCGGGTAAATTATAGAGTTAGCCTTATAGGACGTATTCGTAGCGCTCTTTGCACACAACGAATGTTTAGTTTACAATTGATCATAATCATAATAAATATAAAATGCTCATGACACTTGACATTTCGTCAATATGTGGACAGCGATACCCGTAATAAAGCATAAATGATTCGTGTGCTGGGTCGCATTCACTGAGCACTTCATTTCGTTGTTCTAATTGTACCTTAGGTACATAGGTATATGAAAAAATGAGCGCCCTGCTGCTACAACTGACTTACCCAGGGATATACGTATTTACAAGTTACATTCCCGATTCTCACGTCATAATTATACCGTTCACTCGCTGGCAGCTGAATAGGTTATAATTTAGTCGACATCAATTATTTAATCCCTTCCCAAGGGCACGATGGAAACAAAACATCGATACACCTAGCGGTATATTTTATCAGGTGAAGGAATAAAACGTAGCTTATCGACTGAATTGTTGATGATACGCTCAGCGAGTAAATATTATTTTCATGGACAGCTTATTTAGGGAGAAACACTTGCTCCAGATCATTTATTTTGATATTTGGTATGGGTGTCTAAATGTCTCGGTTTGTCTTACACGTATCGGTGTCCCTCAGGATTTGAACTTTAACTAAATTTCTACTCACTTGTTGTATATTACGTTCCCAGCCTCTACTACTGGAAGTTTGTCTCTACGCAATGTTAATGCAGTATTAACCCAGTCAAAACATGATACACTGCTCTACCTTCACCTAGAATATGGTTTAGTGAATGACGTTTGCGTAATGTTGACGAATCTTGTCCAGCTTCTTGGAGGCACCCTTGACAAGACTACTGAAACGTTGGAAACAAATTAAAAGTACGTTTCGCGTACTGTGTCCGCTGGAAAAAAATAGGATAGGACAAAAAGATTAACCTCTCAATTGCTGACTGCACTAGCAGTTTGATGTTTTCTCTTGACAAGTCTGATGGTTGGACAATCGTTGCAGTTCATACAAACCGTCCACAGATATATCGATGTTCCTTATTCAAGGAACATTTAACAAAATATAAGTTAAAACCACCTAAAACAAAATTTAAATTCAATTCTTTTTATGTATTTTTAAATTTTTTATCTTTTACAAAAGTCCCAACAATTCAGCCCATACGCTCTCTTGTGATTTTTTCGCCGATTTCCGCTGAATGATAATTGCTCACCCAACGTGTATTAGACAACCCTTTTTATCCAAAATGGCTCATCTGTATATGTAATTTATAATAATAGTAGTATTCCACACTTTGAATATTGCTTATTTTGTTTCAGTATGATCAAAAACCCACGATAATCTTACTAGACTGTTCTAAACTGCAACTGGGAAGGGGAAGACTAGACGACAGTGTCACTGCATTCAGAAGAAGACTAGAAATATTTAGGAAGAGTTCGTTGCCTATGCTGAAGGCTATGGACAACGTTGGAAGGCTGACAATAGTAAGCAAATTTTCTGTCAAATTATTGGCAAGGATTATTGAAACTGCACATTAAAAATAGCAATAACAAGATTTTTGAACGCGATGATTTAAAGACTAAAGCAGAATTAGAAATGCATTAACAAGTGATTCAAAAGCTAGAGTTATGAAACCATATTTTACCAGAATGTCCAAATGAAGCGGCTGAATCCAACAAGTCGCTTAGAATTGTCATGAGAATTTCCATTTCAATCAAAATGAAGGAATTAGAAGCACTTGATTTCTATTGTAGAAAGATCCAATATTTAAACAGTTGCATTAGCCAAGATTTTGAGATACGTCATATCCAGGTTCCTTAACTTCCAAACAGATAAATCGACTTGCATATACGTCTCTATATAGCAAAGAAACTATTGAATTTTACATTATAGACCTTATACCGATATTGATAATAAGCTCTACATGATAACGTACATTTCAGGTGGATGGTGATACCGATACTGTGCCAGTTCAGGAAGATTTCCAAAGCGTTGTGAAAGAACACGTCGAATACCTAAAATCACAAAAAGAAGAGATGGAACAAAATCTCGTGCAAAATGGATATGCGTCTAATGGTAAGCGAAGCATATATCCGTGCTAAATTAGAAAGCATGCATTTGAAAATGACTGATTTATGACTGTGGGACTGTGACAAAATAATCAATATATCTAATTTACTATTGCGGTTCCCTTTTTTGAATGAAAGTGGAACCACTCTGACACATTGATATTTTGATAACCAACCTGGTTTACATATGTTTATACAATCCATACGGGGACATCCCGCGGGGAGATTTAGTTACTCTAGATCATCTACAAGAATCTTTTTGAAAAGAGTTGCTGACACAAAATCAGCTAATACATATGTTATTCTTGTGTTTGTGCGTGTGTTTGTCTTCATTGCCGATGTCAAATGTTTGCAGAAAAAATTAGATATTGTTATAACACTTTTGTTCCTTTTTGTTCCAATTTTCATAATAATATGATGGAATTCTAATTAGTACTTGTTCCTCTTTGAAATTACAGGTCATATACCAAATGGCTACGGTAGCCACAGTCAGTCAAACCACAGACCTCCAACTCCGATCCAAACAGTGAGCGGTCATGTGAACAACGTGGCCAAAGGAGTCCATGCAATGGCCAATGGCCTCATAGCTAACGGGAAGGCCATGGTGGCCAATGGAGGAGCACAAACCAACGGATATGGCCCAGCGAAAGCTGGGCATATAGCCAACGGCTTCGCAGGAGGTGGTGGTGTACAGTCAGTCCCTAGTTACCAACAAGTGGATGTGGAAGGACATATATAATCATTATATAAACAGCGTAAAGGAATAAAGGTGGTAGACATTCTGTTGAAGTGAAAATTTCTATCTAGAAATTTCATTTATCTAGCTAAGTCGTACGTATTTGAGGCTAAGTATTTATTGACGCCGAAGTGTGCATTTATTGGTCAGGTGAAATGTAATGAAGAATTAGAGAATCCTAACCGTAGATGTTTTGGAGAACCTCGTCTTTAGTTTTAAAAAACTTTCTCTACTTGATTGAAAAAGGAGAATCTTTTATTGGTATAATGTACCAATACCCCTCTCTCAGTGAATATGTGTAAGGTAGTTAATTCGAAAAAATGAAAATGAATAACCTTTGCAATACAAGAAAATGTGATACAGAATGTGTGACGCCGTGAGCATGCTTAAGTAACCATTAATACTACTTTATTAGAGCCATTAGGTACTGTTATAGGCCCTCTTTGTGACTCAAACAATGTTATAGATTCAACTTCGCAAGTTGGTAAGCTATTTCAAGCTTCAAGGTTTTGATAATTTGAGTAGTTATTCGTTTTAGCTGATGAAATTTAATAACCTACAGGTTTGCTATATAGAAAAGGGGGTATGTTGTAAGTCAAGCGGGTTTTTATACCTTTGTTTTAACGCATTTTTCTGAATTTACACAGAATACATGACTAAAAGGTTCAGCAGAATTTAAGCAGATTCAAATCATTAAAAAAGACGTCTGGGTTTATAGAGAACATATTTTGAATGTCGGCCAAGTAGTTTATGTATCAAGTTTAGCAGCAGCATACTGTTGGAGGTGACTCTACACACGTCTCTCTTTTAGGTCTAATAGGGCGCGAGGAGGAAGCGCTTTTTTCTTAGATATTCCCAGTTGGTAAAATTTGGAAACCGCACAGGCCATTCTGGTAACAGCTCTCTCAAAATATTCATTGTATGCTGGGCTATGTGAGCTGTTGCTTCATCTACTAACCTCACTTCCTTAATGTTTTCTTTCAGTTTGGGTTGAGGTTAGATGGAGCTACAGCTCACCCAGCCCAATATTCAATGAATGTTTTGAGATAAATGTCTCCAGGACGTTTCGTCTCGTTGAAGGGTGATGTCGAACGGCAGCCATCTTGAATATATTTTCAAAACTTAATAAATGTAGTGGTGTTATCTGCTCACTCCGAAATTGAAAACATTGTTTCTTCTCTTAGATCCAGATGCCTCTTTTATAATTCCTTGAAACTGCTTAGTTGGTTCTACCACACATTGTACTTTTGTCTGTGACAAAGTAGGTACTTACCAACAACGCTTAGTGGCTCTCTTCAGTCAGCACTTCTAAGTAGCTCAGGCTCAAAATTTAAAATGTAAGTGCCTTATATGGTTTGATCTGTATTTTCATTACTTTGAATTAGTGTATACAAAATTCGTATAGTAAAAAGTTTCTTAAATTATAATAAATAATATAGGTAGTTAACGAGCAAGTGCTTGAAAAAACCTGTAGGAAGAATTATGAATTGAAAAGTTTATGGACTTTACATGAAAAAAGGTTAGTTGATCTCTGGAAATACTTTTATTTTTCAACATAATTTCACTAATAAAAAAATACTATACCAGTATGTAAAAATTAACAGAATAGCAATAAAACGTTTTTTATCCTCTTGTCTCTACACAGCACAGTGGTTCAAAAGTCGTAGGTCATCGCCAAAACTAGAACTAGAGCTAAATTCCTGCAAAAAACTTTATCTATATGCTTTCGAGGTCACAGATAATATTGTCCATTTGTCCAAAATGAAAACGGCGCATCTAATATGGCGGGCATGTTTGCAAAAAAAAAACGTTTGAATCACGTTCAAATAGTCGATTGGCAAGTAATATGTCCATATTATAATTATAAAAACTTTTGACTCTTATACACCTTATCTACACGAGTTTCTTGCTATTTCAACGTTTGGGGACATTCACTTCACTATAATTCCGCATGGAGAGCCATTTAAGTGGAACTGATATCATCAAAAGATGAGTTTTGTATTTCTACAACTGACGACAAAATCTGGGGCTAAAAGCGAAAAAAAAAATTGTTTCTACTCTTGGCTAGATTTTTTGATTCTTGAACCACTGTGCATAGGCAGAATGAATACTATAATAATTGGTAGGTATAGGTGTAGATTTAATCTTTTTATTAAATGGGTCCAACAGTGTCTTAGAGTTTGGTGTAATTTTTTTGTATAATATAGTCAGAGAATTACAGTAATTTTGATACAGTTAAGTCACCGCTGGACGGTGAAATATATACTCTTGTCATCTATTTTTAATAAACCATTTCTTTTTTTTTGTGAATAAGTGGCAAACTATATCGTAGGTCTGCACCAAAATTGTAATAGAGCTAGCTGCACTAGTATGCCTTATTTTGTATCTTTCCACCACAAATAACTTATAAATTCTTATTTATTTCTTTGTCACATAACCATTAGTTATATCAGCTATACAATAGTAGCACATGATGTATATAACTTAGAAATCCACCAGTATTTAATTTTATCGAATTCATTTCACAAACATGAAAAATGACAATGTTTTAAGCAATAAAAATTTTTTAAAATATTAACCATTATCAAAATCATACAGTATCGAAATTGTCAAGATATCGTCAAAGGAACGTCCAACTTCTTTCACGTGCAAATCTACGTTTAAAGAACCCTTGAAGCAATAATATACAACTTGAACCACACCACAGCGCAAATGTTGCATTGTGACAGTTGAGAGACATTGTCATGTTAATTAGTCCACAAATTGTATAATAAACAGACACTAATTTTTCTTTCATTGAGCTATTACATAAGCATTATTATTAGGGAAACGCTACGTCTATTTACATTTTTGAAAAGTCTTTACTGGAAGGTGAGCTTTGCAACATTTTTTTATAAATTCAATGTGTCTTAGGTCTTGTCTCATCGAATATAATACTTCTATTTTAGATTACTTAGTTCTTTCACTTTCTGTTAAGGAATAGCCTTATTTCGAATGTTTAAATAAAAGTATACTATCGTATAGTTTAAGTATTTATTCTACCCAATCTTCTCCCCTTTCCGTACCTAAATTAACTAAGCTAAGATATATGGGCGGCGCAAGCCATAAGTGGATCTACGACGACATCGCCATCTTTTGATGCAATGACCAAATGTTATCTTTTAGTAGGGTGCTGAATCCCCAATCAATAACAGTATGCGCATGCGAAGCATTGCGGAACTGAATAACATCGACTCGCTGATTGAAGGACTCTATATTGATATTTCGATTGCGACGGTTGTCTTTTCAAATAAAAAAAATATAAACTTATTCGTCCTGCCAGGTCCTGCTCAAATATTTTCCAACCTTTGCTGGTTAGTGATATCTATGTATGTCCTTCCAGACTAGATTGCCTTTTTTAAGGTCTTTAAGACAGTGTTATTTTCTTGTTTGTTCGAAGTGCACCAAGACAAACTTTGAGGAACTTATCAAGCTCGAAAAAAAAACAAGTACGGGTGTCTCATAGCTGGCGCTAGGATCTACAATCGCTTTTTGGCACTCCTGTAATGTCTATTTTAACTGGGTATCTTCGGTCCTCGATTAGCGTATTTCAGCCGTTTTCAAAATACAAATTAAAATTAAAAACAAAATTAAATATTTATAGAATCAATGTAGCTCTTTTGTAACACCTCCAAAAGTAATATATCAGTTTATTAAATATATAGTATACTTCCTGCCTACAAGGTTGTACCCACAAACGATGGTAGTGACATGATGCGGTTGCTGTGGTTTATGCAGAGTTACAGCAGATTGGACGTTGCGCCATTCCTCCACAGATGGCGGTCGCGCTGTGTGACCTAGAGGACATGTGCACGTGGCGTCACCTACCATGGGTACCTATTACGTAACTTTAAAAGTGAAATTTTCGATTACCCTATTTCACGAATATCCATCACACTTTGACGTCTCACGTCGGCAATAATGAATCGGGTGTAAATCTAGTAAAACTTGTTTGTAGCGTTTTGTTTTTTGTACGCGAATGAACGTATCTAAATGAAAGAGCTTTTAGCAAGTACAAAGTGAATCTGGAGAGTACAAAAAACAAAACAAAACATAACTCTGTCCACCTGGCATTGAGGAATCCGTAAGAATTATGTGTCCTTTGCCGATATGGAGAATTTTGAAATATTACTAGATAATTAGCTGTCATTCTACCGTAATGGATACTCGTGAAAAAGACTTGGTACATATAACACTGGCTTTAATTCCCGAGATACCCTAACCTAAATGTGCAGCAATAGCGGTTTTTGCCCATATTCAGGTTATGTAGCAAGGGCGTTTTTCTTAATCTTCAGTCCTTTCAAATGGCGTTGATTTTGCCCAAATTTGTATTTATTTCGCAGAGATACGACACTTCAAAATTTTCATCAGAACTGAGTGATTTTTACTTTAAAATGTTCAATTGAAGGTAAGAACATTATGGTCGACCTTGATATGATAAAGGCTGGGTTGTGGTCTTGTAGTTCGGGTAAGTTTTAGATATTTTGTGAATTTAGTGTTGACAATTTGGATGGATTTCTACGGACAACAGAAACAAATATGGCACTTCATAAGACAACAAAGAAGCGAAATGAAAGAACTAGTTGAAATAGAACACATAAAAGACGATACATGAGTGGCCTTCCTGACAGAAATGTTTAAAAAAGAAAACGAAGAATCTTTACCAGAAACGCCAAATATAATAACTGATCAAAAGACCGAAATCTCCCAAAAACATGTGAAACAAGGAATAAATAAATTGAAAAATAGAAAGTCATCAGGAGAAGATCAAATACCAAATGAACTCTTAAAATATGGAGATGATTACCTGGTACAACAACTGCAACTCCTTATTCAAGAAATAATCACCACGAACAGAATACCAGATGAATGGAGGAGGGCGACCATGCTGATGTTCTTCAAGAAAGGAGATAAGGAAGACCCCAATATTTATCGAGCAATAAATCTGTTAAATACAACACTCAAATTAACAACAAGAATAATAGCGACAAAAATAAACGAACGAATAACCCTGCAAGAGGAACAGCAAGGATTCCGGACAGGAAGATCATGCACGGATGCAGTTTTTGTATTAAGACAAATAAAAGGAAAGTCACTGGAATACAAATATATGTGCCTGATAGATTTGAAGAAAGCGTTTGATAGGGTGAGAATTCGGGACGCCATA